AACTTCGACAGATAGTGTTAAGCATAGAGTTCCATGGTGGACACCAGATTGCCGCAGGGCGCTGTGCCGACGCAATAAGGCCTACAGGCTTTTCAAAAATAACATCACAAACGAGAACTTTTGCAATTACAAACAAGCAAGAGCTAGGGCTCGTAGAGTAATAAGACAAGCAAAAAGAGACTCCTGGCGGAGCTTTGTCTCTATAATCAATAGCAATACAAAAATATCAAAGGTTTGGTCCACTATTAATAAAATCAACAAGAAAAAATCATCATTCAAAATTAAAAACATCATTGACGAGGGAAATAACATCGATTCACCTAGAGACATTGCTATTGCACTCGCCAGGCAGTTTTCTCATACAAGCAGCTCAGCAAACTACCATCCTGCATTCCTGCCCATCAAGGAAGCGGCTGAGCTGCAACCAATTCACTTTGCCACAGGAGATGACTTTGATTACAATAAAGACCTTACAATAGATGAGTTTGTCCGAGCCCTAGAAGCCTGTAGAGGAACTTCCCCAGGCCCCGATGAGATTCGATATGAGATGATAAAGCATCTTAATCATGGTGACATGATTAAGTTGCTAGAAGTGTACAATGAAATTTGGAAAAGCCACACTTTTCCAAACTCATGGCACTTCGCCCACATCATTCCCATATTGAAAGGAGGGGCTAATCCCAAACTTGCCATCTCCTACCGCCCAATTGCGTTGACAAGTTGCTTATGCAAGGTCATGGAACAAATTGTTAACAGTAGGCTATTGCACTTTTTAAATTCCAGTCATTTGCTAGTTGACGAGCAGTGCGGTTTCCGAAAGGGACGTCAAACTCTCGATCAAGTAGTAAATATTCAAGAGGCCATTGCCAAAAAAGATTTTTTGATTTCAGTATTTTTAGACATAGAAAAAGCCTACGACATGACGTGGCGATATGGCCTAATCAGAAAACTTTATGCTTTTGGATTACGTGGAAACTTGCCTTGTTTTATTCAAAATTTCATTTCTGACAGAACTTTCTCTGTCAAATTATTTTCTGACAATGTCACTTTTTCGGACATTTTTGTCTAGGCAAACGGGGTCCCACAAGGAAGTGTCTTGTCACCAACATTATTTCTATGTATGATAAATGACATCTTACCAGCTCCTCCTCGGAATCTTAAATACTCACTGTACGCTGATGATTGTGCATTATGGCATTCCAGCAATAATGCAGAGTTCTCAGCAAATCGCATCCAATTGGCACTGGATATGATTCATAACTGGGGCCTCCAGTGGGGTTTTAAGTTTTCCATTAGAAAGAGTATTGGGGTAATTTTTTCACATAGGAAAAAGCCCAACATCAGGCTAACTCTAGACAACCACCCAATACCTATTCAAAATTCTGCTAGATTTCTTGGTCTACTTTTGATAGTAGACTCAATTGGAAAGACCACATTGGTCAGTTAAAGAATAAATGTCAAAAAGCACTAAATTTATTAAAGTGCATTTCTGGTAATAAATGGGGAGCTGATAGACAGTCTTTGCTAATGGTATATAAAGCCCTAGTTAGGTCTAAAATAGATTATGGGTCAATCGTGTATGGCTCGGCATCGAGAACAAGTTTGAAAGGTTTGGATGCTGTGCAGAATGCTTGTTTGCGTGTGTGTATTGGAGCCCTGAAATGTACTCGGATCGAGCGTCTTGAGGTGGAGTCAGGAGTACCTCCCCTCCGACTCAGACGCGGCCAGTTAGCCCTGAGCTATGCCGCGAAGGTGGCTCGAGACCCAAGACACCCTAATGGCAATGGAGGCACTAGGCCCTTTGCCACGAGACTCCACGACCTCGTCGAGAAAGTCGGTATAGATCTCTCTACCATCGATACCCTGGTTCATTCAAATATAGCGCCATGGGAAACCCCCAATTTTTCTATCATGGAAGCCCGGCTTCCATCACCCAAGACCATGGCGCCGGAGGTGGAGGTACGCCAGCGGTTCAGAGAGATCCTTATTAAACATCTAAACTTTTTCCATATATATATATACCGACGGCTCCAAAACAGATGAATGTGTGGGTGCAGGTGTATGGTCGACTGAATGTGAACTAAAGTTCAGACTGCCGAATCATACATCGATCTTTCTTGCTGAACTTTTTGCTATAGATAAAGCCATTGATTTTGCACTACCGACGACCCACGATAGAATAGTTATTTTTTCTGATTCATTAAGTTCACTTAAAGCTATTAAATCCTTAGAAACCACTAAAAATGAATTGCTAGGTAATATCATTCGTAAGTTACATGGTACCAACAAATCAATCAAGCTAATATGGGTGCCAGGACACTCTGGTATCCATGGCAATGAACAGGCTGACAAACTAGCCGGGTCAACTGGCGATCTGGACACTACCATAGTTCGTACAGATCTCAGGTGTTTTGTGTCTCTTATAAAAGCAAAAATACATCTCCTGTGGCAAAGTGAGTGGACCAACCTCCAACTCACCAACAAGATCAAAGAAAACATAGAACTGTGAGACACAGCCCACAGGAAAATCAGAAGGGAGGAGGGGGTGTTGGCCCGCCTTAGGGTCAACGCTTCAAGACTCACACTCCTCACTCCCTATATCGAAAAAAGATTTCCCCCACAATGCCCCCCTTGCAACACCAACCTTACCCTGAACCATATCCTTACAGTATGCAATCAATACAACAATCTCAGACAACCACTCAAAAATTACCTCAGAATTAAAAATAAAGATTTTACACTAATTAACATATTGTCAGATGATGAAGGAATCATCAGTAAAGTAATTACTTTTTTAAGGGAGACAAAACTTTATGACCTTATATAGATTGATAGAATAAATAGG